GTCGTCTTGCTATCTGGGGTAGCAAACATCGTCGGGAAACACATTTCAACACTGCAGGTTACCTGGTGTAATGTTTTTCAGCTAAAAAGAAACATGGTCTGACTCCTACCAACTATATAAAGAGTAACTGAAGGTTAAATGCAGCTAATATGTCCTGTTTTAAGCCAGACATTTACACCTCCGCTGCGTCTCAGCCACCATCGCTCTGGCAGCAACGGGGCTAGAGCCAGAGCAGGGGAGAGGCGAGCTGGAACAAACCACTTTGGGAAGGGGGATTATCTATACTTTTGTTGTTAAAATGTTACGTCTCAACCAAGTATTGAATGCTTTTTATATTTTTAGTAGTGTGTCAAACAAACAGCAAAAATATTGTCAAAAAAAGTAAGAAATCTTTGGGGGCGCTTTGATTCATTTTGGGGGTGCTGAAGCACCCATTTGTGTTTTATAACCTCAGCTGAAGCACCCCCAAAATGGGCTAAAATTGCCCCTGATCCACGGCGTGTCTTCATCTAGCCTTCCTCCCTTACTCCATCCAGTCGTGGTTTGACTAACTTCTGTGTGTGAAGACGCTTCATTTGTGTGAACAAATCACATCTGATGTGATTAAAAGCACTGAAGTGCAGTTTCTTTAATACCAATGGTTTGTTATAATCTGTGAAGTAAGTTATTATGGTCATATTAGTATCAAATGGTATACTGAGGCGAGTCCACTGACCAAAAGAAGCTCCTTCAACTTTCAGTAGTGCTGTTTTTGTGCTAAGATGCACTCTAAAGGAATACTTGGCTTAACAGTCGTTGTCAATCTGGCTACAGTCCTGTTTTCCTTGATTAGTGACAAATCGTGGACAACTTTTTACTTTTGCGAGGCCAAACAAACGTCAGCTCAATGCCATTTCCTCTCCCTTTGCACGCCAGTGAGCATGTAACAGTATTAACAAAATAATCGACCTGTGGGAGTAAAGTTTAGGTAGCTCCTCTACATTTTGTTGACACATGAAACTGAAGAAGATAACGATGAAGAAATCTCTTCCTTAAACTTAGTTACAGCACTTTCAGAAAGACATCTGTTGTAATGAAATTTAAAAGTGTAATTAAATGTTTTTAAAAACTGATCAAACAAATCACAGTTTTCAGGCAACACTGTAAATGTTCAGTTTGTACTGTGTGACAGGACAAGATCCACACTGTGATTAAAACAATGAGAACTTGGCACTAAATCGGATAAGAGGCCTGAGAGGTCGGACCACGAGGATGATGGATAACAGAATAGTTTTTGACCCTTCCAGTTATGGTGGACAAACCTAAGAGAAGAACTGAACGTGTGTCAGGTCTCAATCCTGACAGCCTGAGTTGAGGTGGTGATTTACTGAAACTGACACAATCTTCTGTTGTAACCGGGTTTCTGTGAGAGTAAACATATTAAATCATTCACTATCAGGAAAGAAGCCACACTGTATTGGCAGAATTCCACATGATTCATTTGAATAACCTCCAAGCAGGTCTCATTACTACAATTTTACAGTTGTATGTTTGCTCTCTGCCAGCAGTTTTAGACAGTGCTCAGCTGCCTGCTCAGGAATACAATCAGTGTGGTCTCTTGGAGTCAGCGTTGTGTTTCTAAGAGCAGAGATTTTTCCTGGTGGCATTTTCACTTGTCGAGTGGAGAAAATGTATTCAAAATGAGGATGGGTTGGTCCCAGGGCCTTCTGTTTCAGACTGCAGCTCACAGGCCCTGACTTCTGAACTTGCTGGGGGATAGCTAACCGGGGATAAACTCCTTTGACCCACAAAAGACCAAACCATGGACAACACTAAATCCAATATTAAATAGTCCAAACATAAACAGCAGGCCATATTGCTGGTAACACAATAAGTGAGTACTAAGACTATAACTGAGTGGGAGTCCACACCAAGTAAGAGTGCCACCAATTTAATCTTGTGTACTAGAAATAAGGTCATTTTAAATGAGGACCAACATTTTCCAGAGTCATGACAGAGTCTACAGTCATTTAAACACAATTTCCACTGTAGCTGTTTGTTGAATAATGTTAACTCATTACTGACTCTATCTAGAATAGAATAGAATAGAATAGAATAGAATAGAATAGAATAGAATAGAATAGATGTTTATTGTCACCGTTACAACCGTCTGGATGACTTCTACAGTCAGACAAGGTAACCTGGTGGGTTTATAAAACACAGTGTGTCTGCATGTTTCTGACTCTGACCTCCAGTAACTCTGGGAGGACTCTGGGAGTAGTTTTGGATCAGTGTATGTTTTCAGTGTGCATATTGTCACTGTTACTCTCCGTTAGCAGCATGAAGTTTTTTACATTAACATTTCTTTAGAATGAGAGAAAAAAACAAAAAATAGACGTAGTTATGTACAAGTTATAGGTGCCATATAAAGGAGCAGGTGCAGTGTAATCAGTGGCAGTGCACACTGAGTAAGAGGTAGGACTAGAGGTAGAAATGCTGGTTGCTTAATAAATACAGTTTATAAACAGATTGTATTAGATGTGTTATAACAGGTGCATCTATAGGTTTTTTAAATACAGTGAAAATGTCCATAAATGTTAAGAGCACTGCTCTACAGTGAGGAGTGTATGAAAGTCTAGAGTGATTTAAACATTGTGTTTGCTTAAAGTTATTTAATCCTTGCAGATCCCCCAAGCTGATTTCAGAATTAAATGGTTCAAGTTAAACTGGGCAAAGTTCCTTTTAGTGGGTTAATTTCCTTTTAATCCCCCTTTCTCTCCTATTCACAAATGAGGGGGAAAATGCCATTAAAGTGTTGTAATGGTGCATGGAGCCGCTGCTGCTCTAGATCTCTTTAGTGGGAACTGATTACTACTCGTAAAAAAGAAAAACTTCTCTGAATTCTTATTTCTGTGTCTCCATCTCATTCGGTCTTGCTCTCCTTAATGCTCCCTCGCTGCTATTTTTAATTATCAACATAAGGTGATTTGGTCACGAGCAGCCAATCCCCGGACAGGAATGGCAATAATGTCTTTAGTATTCGTTCCTTTTGAGTAAGGCTGGATAATGGGAGGAAATTAAGAATTCATCTCGGAGCGTCTTTTTAATTTAGCCTGAACTCAGACTGAGACATATTTACAACAAAGCTCTCCTGATCTCAAAGACAAAACTCCTGCACCAGTTCCTGCACCACACAAGAAGAAACTGTGGCCTTTGTGCAGAGATCAGGTTTAAACTTACAGCATCTGGAAACAATGATGTTTTTAGTTAGTAACAAAGGGCTAAAGATACCATTTAAAAGTGGTTCTTTGCTAATGTTATGTGTAGAAACAACACTGGCAGCAAGGGCCAAATGACAAACTGGGAATGGAGTGCAGGGCCGCAAAAACACACTGAACAGGAATTTTATATCTTAGTAAACCACCGAGTGCACATTTTGTAAGAGTAGACTTTGCAGATATAATAATTGTTTTATTTATTTTAGACTTAATTAGACTTCAGATTAGAAAAGTCTGGTTACACAGAATCAACACGAATCATTTTAACCAACCAGTCTTTTTAGCTACATCCCATAATAGTTTAGCAACAGGTCCTGTGTCATCAGAGGGGAAATCAATACAAGCACGTGTGTCCTCATCCATGTTTTATTGAATTTTGACATCATCTTTATTGGTGTTAAAATCCAGAGCCTGTATATATATGGATGGATGTATAACCAGCACGGGCTGGTGTAACGGAGGAAGGGTGCTTATGAGCAGAAGCTGGATGAAAACTGAAATGGTTTTCTTTCTTTTAAAAAAATATTTATTCAAATATATCGTTGATCGTCCGTGTTCAGTGTTCAGCACGGAGACCTGGATGCTGCCATCCCGCCACCATCGCTGAGCTCAGCCTCCCTCTGCTCTCCTGAGACCCGTGAAGGAAGCAGGAGATCGGACACGTGCGCGCTGAGGGCTCGGGCTGTCATTTCCAGCGCGCGTGCCGCCCACAGGCTCTGCGTGTCTCGTGAGGAGTGTTGTACTTTCTCTCCCCCACAGGTGTAAAACAGAAGCTGCTCGTGACGCTTTGCGCGGCAGATTCCTGCGCGTGTCAATCCCGCTGCAGTTTGTCAGGAAGGCACCACAAGTCAGCGCCTTTACTCTTAACAATAACAGCCTCCGCCTAACACGACGACTGTCGCTATCGGAACAATATTACACCTGCTTTAAAAAGGCTTTTTTACTTTATGAAACACACATTTCAGTGTTATGTGTCTCACTGGGTCTTACTTTATCCAAACATGAAATTATTAAATGAATGATTGTGTGACACGGAACAGGTAATCTCTGAACACTGACACGAGAAGAAACCAGGTGTAAGAGCTGAGTCCTGATCCTGATGAGAGTCAATCATTACCAGATTTCGTCTAACTTTGCAGGTGGAGGTTTTGGCAAGAGAGGGGTAATTGGTCCGGGTGTAGCAGCGTGGTGTCCCGGTGAGGTGGTGTGACGGGATGGCAGGTGAGCGGATCCAGGATGACTGGGGGTGTAGAACAGGGTTAACACTGCTGTGAGTAAAAATCTCTTTTCCATGAAAGCACTATGAGGGTCAGCACTGACTGTGGTTACCTGAAGACCTGGTGGGGAGCTGTGGTGAGCGCTGGTCTTAAGCAGGTTTCCAGGTGGAAACCGTTATTCGGAGGTAAAACCCCGGACTCACCCGGACCATGACACCCTGCACCAGTAATTCCCATTTAACAGCTGATTAGGGAGAAAATAAAATGTATTACTT